TGCCCTCTGTCTGCCCCACCCCCTTTAATATCTCTAACGCTTACCCCCTCCCTGCCCCCTCCTCTCCACGTAGCCGATGCAGCACCCCCTCCTGCCCACTCCTCACATTGGGGATTCCACATAGCCGGTGCAGCACGCCGCGGTGTCCCCGCTGCGCTACCACCCACGCGTCACCATGCCTTCTGTCGGCCCCACACCTCTTTTGTCTCCCTTCCTGGGGTCGGCGGCACTGGGCGGCAGCCCTTAAATAAGGCAACTGGCTTCTTTGTCAAGAAAGCCTCCAACCTAATGGCCTCCAACCTACTAGCGATGGCCTCCATCCCAATAGCGATGGCCTCCAACCTACTAGCGATGGCCTCCATCCCAATAGCGATGGCCTCCAACCTACTAGCGATGGCCTCCATCCCAATAGCGATGGCCTCCAACCTTGTTTTTTGGTCGAGAAAAGAAAAGAGGGAACGAAAAAATACTGTCCTCCCACGTCATTCCTGGCTTCAAATCAGTTGGGCTTTTCTGTTCCGTTGGGAACAGCTCCTAACAGCACACTTGCATTTGGTGTTGTCCAGTGCTCGTGATCAACAGCGCCGCAAGTGTCTTCATGTGCCTCTGGGAAAAAGCAGAAACGGAGACTCGCTGAGATTGCCCCTTGCGCGAAGCCTTCCACTTGGAGGCCGGGTCATCAATCTTCTTGTTGAACAACTCCTCATTTTCGCCTGTCGAAAGGTGATAGCATCAAAGACCTTTCTATTGTGACGCCACCACCATTCCCGGCCTTGTACTCGGATCGGAAAAACCAGCGCCTTTGCTCTTCACTTGAAGGAGCTCTCACTCGCAGCACGCTTGTTTCCCAGGTCCCCCGACGTAATGCCACGGCCTCAGGGTCACAAGGCATTGCGTGAATTCCACGAAGGAAGTGAATAAAGTCTTAGCCAGCAGCCCATCATTTTTCACAACGTCAGCACCAAGGACCCGGATGGTTTCCTCCAATCCGCCCAAAGCACTCAAGGTTTAAGACGTCTTATGCAGAAAGCTAGGAATTTACAGACCTCATGTCCCCACCGAAGCCTCTAGCCCCTGAAAGGTCTTATTTAAAGGGCTGAAGAAAGAATCAGGGGCAACATGGTCCTAGTAGCGTCCTTGCTCCTAGTAGTACGGCCAGGAGCCCCTAGTAGCGTCCTTGCTCCTGCCTTCCTTTTATGCAAAGTTTAATATCCAAAGCCCAAGCAACACCAACTCTTCAAGCCAAGATAGTGCTCCGTTCGATTGAAATCAATTCTTGAAACACTTGCATGGTAGTAAGGGCCGCAAAGGCCAAAACCTAAGACATCATAGACCCAGAAAGTTTCTGCATGGGGATTGTCACCCACCCCTTGCAGTTTGAATTCTGCTTCTAAGACCTCTAAGAAAGCATTCTGAAATGCTGCAGCATTTTTGTTCAGAAATTCCAGACCAAATGGCATTTTGCTTCGAGCATGAACCATGATTCCCCCAGGAAAAACGATCCCCTCGTTTCGCGCCTGCGATGTGTTCAGCAGCTTCTGCTTTTCTGCTGCGGATCCGGACCCACTCATGGTTTCGTTTCAACTTTCACGCACGAGAGCCAAAGTTCTCTGACGCAATGGAAACGGCGCTTGAAGAAACGGTACAAATCTACAAATCTAGCTACTAGTAGTAATGACCTTGTTACCCTTGTTGCTAGCTTCTAGCTACTAGTAGTAAGGCAGCTTGTTACTAGTGGTGAGGCACCATGCTACTAGTAGCTATAAGCACAAACGAAAACAGAAGCCAAACCAGCAATGCAATCGACACCAACCCAACAAACGCACAATGTCACAATGAAGAATAAGACGTCGCTTTTGGCTGTTTGCTGGCAAGCAGGCTCGAGCTCCATGAGCTTCATGAGTTCCAAGAGCTTCCAGACGACTGCTTCCCCCGACCAGAAATGCTTCTTTGGCACTTTCTTGGAGCTTCTTTGGGAGGTTGTCAGAAAGGATCTTTGCTTTACACATTGCCTGTGCCTAATACATTCATTAGGTGTAGCTAGGAACACTTGGTGCTCTAGCTGTGAACTTAAGACAAAGACACACCTAGCCTACCGGGCCACACCAAAATCCATCGAAACATGCGGTGGGATGATGGCTTCGCCGAATCTCACTCGCCAGGATCAAGCCTGCAACCTCGGTGTCTTCGTGCTCTTTTCGTGAGCGAGTCCGGAAGAAAGCGAGTCGGAACGCCGAAACGAAATGAAAAAAGAAGTGAGTTCCATGCTGTTCCATGTCTTCCTACTAGGAGCGATCGGACGGTACTAGGGGCTCCTGGCCGTACTACTAGGAGCACGAAGCTAGTAACAAAGGGCATCGCTACTAGGAGCAAGGACGCTACATGAACGTCTTTCCAAGTTGGCCATAGACGCCATAGATTTGGAATGAGGGTGAGAAAAACCGGAGGACCTCTTGCTAGGCGCCACGGTGCACCAATTGGTCGAGCTCTTTTCAAGGACCCTTTACTTTGAAGGCGCTTGAACCTTTCGAATGATTGATTTGCTTCCTGGATTTTTGCGGAAACTTAAAATATGTTTGAAAAGGTTCCTAGATTGGAAAAGCGAGCTTTTTCTTGCTTTCTTTCTGATCATTTGCTAGGCAGCTTGTCAAGAAAGGAAGGAAAAAAGAACGGTCTGATGAAAAGACTTTGTTTCTAGAGTTGCCTCCCTAAATTTTTCTTTGCTTTGTCCAACTTCATCGGGAAATTGCTTGTGAAGTCTGAAGCGTCTGTGGGAAGTGTTCGAACAACTTCGCAGGTTGGCAGAAGCACTTCATCTCGTTTCATTAACTAGTAACAAGGGCATCGCTACTAGGAACAAGAGCATCACTAGGAACAAGGGAATTACAGCAAGAAGCTACTAGTAGCTCCTTGCATTACTACTAGGAAGAAGAAGCTACCAGTAACAAAGGATAATTTGATCCTAGCACAAAAATAGCCGCGGATCATCTTCATTGACCTCCTCTATACGCTGCTGTGCCAGAGATTTGTCGCCCAAGAAAAGGTCGAGCACCAATTTCAGGGCTGCCACTCCCTCAGCCACGACAACACCTCTCGCGCTAGCTTTCTAACGCGCTTTCTAACGCATTCTGCTTTCTGTATTTCAATGTCTCAAAAAATATGCAACTTCAAAAGGTACAGTCCGAAGCTCAAGGCTCAGCTTGCTAAGGTAGACGGGGGTGAAAGTTTCAGTAGCCTTCTTGAAAGATATCGTTCGGATGGCTTCTTCTTCTTTGCGACAGAGGGCTGGACAGAGAGGGTGGATGTCTTCCTTCCTACCTTTCGTGACACGTGGAATGCACACCAAATGGCGCGTTCAATGGCCAGGAACAAGAGGAGCTGTGTGTGAAAGTGGTTGGCATCGAAGCTGTCATATGCAAAAACCACCTCAGCTGCAAAACCACCTAAGCTGTTCATAAGCTGACCTGGTTCTTGACATGTTGAGTATCTGCATGTTTGGTCCCAGGCTCAATGTAGGCAGTGAGTGACACACCAAAGTAGGCAAGACCATTGAGAATAAAATTCCAGGAGCCAAGGCCATGCGTGATGATCGGGACGACCCGCTTCTGTGAGAAGGAAAAGCGATAGGCCAAAAGCCTTTTCAGCAAATTCAACACAAAAGCTTTACAGGTCCGTTTAGCTTCCTGGCCTTACTACTAGCAGCAAGAAGCTACTAGCAACAAAGGTCCGTTTAGCTTCCTTTAAATCAGCTTTGAGGCCTCTTCATTGGAAGGTTGGACAAGAAGCACAAAATGCACATTGAAGGAGCAACGCAGCCAAACCTCAACGATTCACAGTCATGAAGTTTATAAGACCAGATATCAATCTACCGTATATATTATATGTCTATATCAACTGTTCATTTTGCTCGGGGTCTGACATTGACAAAAAGCCAAAGTTCAGGACCACTTGCAAATAATCCGAAACCTCTGCCTCTTCGCCATAATCCGCCAGCATTGCCTATGGTCGTTGCAACAAATCTGGAGACCTCCTTCTGTGAGAACTGAAAGCTCTTTCACTTGATGCTTCCCACCTGGACTTCCACATACGAGAGCTTCCCATCATCGCCTTGTCAGTCGAAAAGTGTTGAAAGGAATCCAAAAGCAAGGAGACGGAGGGATAGAACTATCCCACATGTCACACTGAAAACGGCAAACTTCAGATCTATCATGGTCACTTCATGATTTCATCCTGTCAAGTAATCATAACTTCACTAAGAACCGCACTCTTTTTCCTTTGAAGCTCTTTGCGAACAGTCCAGTACATCATGGCAAGTTGCACCATCAAGCCAGCTCCCACGGATATCACCTGACCACGTTGCCAATGCCTACCTCACAGTTCACCGGTTCACGGTGTCTCTTGAAACCCTCTGGGCCTGTGTAATGAAGAAAAGCTGAAGGTCGGCTCGCAATGCATCCAAACACCCTGTAGCAAGACTGCAACAAATTTGTTGATTCGATAACATTTGCTTGAACCAGTCATTCTCTGGCATCAAGGCCAGGCCTGAGATATGATTGCCTGGACCTGGACATCCTTCAACGTGAGGTTGGATGAAAATGCTGCGAATGAAGGGATAGTAGAAGAGGACCGACTTGACTGCAAAAAGCTTCAGGATCATCGCGGATTTCAAATCCATCTCAGTTCTATGGTTCTCATGTTTGGTCAAGTAGATGCACAAAGGCGTCCATACTGCATCCACGATTTTGATGTTGGCCGTGACCAAGTACTTGAAGTATTTTCCGGCATCTGTGTTCTGCATTCCAAAAGTCATGCCATCGGGGTTATCGAAAAGATCCCTCCTCCACAGTGCAATGTATCGCGAAAAGAAGACGGTCTCACTGAGAAAGAGGATCACAAGGGTCCAGTGTAGCAGGTTGCGAAGGTTTTCCGAGCAGCTGCCCCGCAGTTCATCCTGCATGAAGATATGGGAAGCGTTATGCATGTTGATGGAATCTCACACAACTTGCTTGCCAACAGCCAGTCCTTGAAGTTCTTCCGCACCTGGTTTGCTCCGTGCACAAGGGGGAATGAGAAGTTGGTTCAAGGGACTTGGTAAGACCAAGAAACATAGAGTTTAAACATTGCGCCAAGCTGCGTTTTTCACTCTGCTGACAGTGTCTCCCATGCCCCATTTCAAGAGCTTTGCATTCATCTGGTGCTTCAGACTGGCCTCGGAAGCAGCTTTAGCTTTGCAACAAGAGAGGTGTGGACATCTTGAAAGTAGCACCAGGAGACGTACTCTTTCCTGGACTTTACAGAGCACTAACTAAAGCAGCTAGCTAGCAGGTTGGAGGCCATCGCTAATAGGTGTCTGTTCTTTTCTTTTTACGAAATTGTTTTTCCTAACTAAAGCCTAAAGCAGCGCACATACACCCCAAGCATGGGAGTCAAGATACAGAGCCAATCAAGAACATGTTTTAACCTTATTCTAAGCATGCATATTACAAAGCAAGGGTAGCAGAAACTGTCTAAAGGTTTGGGAAACAAAAGAAACGAGCAAGGAAGATAGGGAGAAAGAATAGAAAGTTCATTCTTTCTGGTGCAATGATAGAGCAGAGGCCCAACCCTGCCTAACTACCTTTCAACCGCATGCCGTCGCCAGTCTGACCCTGCTTGGTCGAAGGCCAGAAAGAAAGTGCTCCACAAACACATCATCCCTCCAAAGCTGCTGTCAAACCAGTGGGCCTGAAGTCGTCTTGCGCCAAGTCGTCGGGCGCAAAATCGAAACGAAGGAAATGAAGGCACGTTATGGGCGGTCCTGTGTTCCAGCTTTTGATCCAATGAGGAGCAAAGGACGCTACTAGGAACAAAGGGCATCGCTACTAGGAGCAAGGACGCTACGAGGGGCTCCTGGCCTAACTACTAGTAACAAGAAGCTACTAGGAGCAAAGGGCATTGATGTCTACAGAAAGTTCTCAAAGCAGACGCCTTCTCGTGGGAAATGTGGGGTCGGACGAAAGGGAAGATGATGCTCACAAGAGCAGGCACCACAAGCCACCTTGCAAGATCACAATGTATCAAACAACTCCCCCTTCCAGAACCGTCAAACCTTTGAAAAGGCATTTCTTCGAGACAGTACCGAGCTGATGTTTCTGGCCTTCAACGTTTAATGAGAGTCTTTCCAACAAAGTTTCCAAGTTCACACCTTGTGAAGGCATTGTAGAGATGGAAGAAGGCCGCCACGTGCGCACCGAAGTATTCTGACACATTGTCCGGCATGTTTGCCTGAAGAGATGTTTGTACATATAAGTTTAAACCTGGCCTCCAGCCGAATAGCAAAAAGAACCTAATAGCAATGCCCTCCAACCTAGAAGCAACGGCCTCCAAGCTTACAAGCCTGTTTGTGGTGCACACTCCACTTCGTGTGTGTGTCATTTGTTTCGCCTTTGGGAAATAGAAGGGCTTGTAGGGATTACTCCACCCACGCCTCAGCTGCGCAAAAAAATGCAAAGAGTCCAAGAGGCGTCAGATAAAGAGTCGCAAAGAGTGGCGTTTCGCCAAAAGTCTAGGAACCAAATCAATCATACTAGGGGCTCCTGGCATCGCTACTAGGAGCAAGGACGCTACTAGGGGCTCCTGGCCCTACTACTAGGAACAAGAAGCTACTAGGAGCAAGGGCATCACTACTAG